TGGTTGAATGGTAGAACATGGACATCAATGTTTTATCAACTTTAAAATACTTTAGCTTTCTAAGAAAAAATAGTCTTTTGTTCACTTTTTTATGCAGGAGAGAAGTGTGGACACGCCAGTTGAGTTTGTTGTCTATTGTAACACCCAAATACTTATAGTCTTATCTGTGGACTGAGCCTAATAGGCTAATTCCTATCAGGTTAAAATCGGCTTCCTCGGGGTAGCCAAGGCTTTCGTCCTCTGCTTCATGAGTGACCTCTTTCTTTAAACCCGTTGTAATTATTTCATCAGGAGCCCCAGTGTGGCCATTACTGTTGCGCAATGTAGCTTCTTTGTGGTGTGAGTCACCATGCAGTAGTGGAGCTGAGACATGACCACTCATACCGCCTGACATGCCCACCCTGTGCAGACGACTGGTAGGTGAAAAGTGGTCTGTAATTACTGTGGATTCTTCCTCACGACTTGGGTGTCTGACTTCAGGGATGTTGGTCTGCTCCCCTCGGCCGTGTTCAATGTTGGCCGAGACAACCTCATGTCTGTGCTGGAGCCAGAATTTCTTTGCTTTCCGTCGTTTGTAAAAGAAAATAATTAATGACAGCAACATTGTCACCACGACCGACATCACACAACCTACGGTTATCACGGCTATTTTTGAGTCAGAAATGGACTTGTTTTTATTGTTGTCTGCACTCCCAGATTGTTCAATCAACCGCATATTGTAGTCTGCACCTTGAGTGGGATTTTCCTTGACCAGTGTCTTGGTCAGCATGTGCAGTTCTTTGACATCACTCAAACCTATCACACTGACAGCCACAGAACGAGTGAGCTCAAAGCAAAATCCACTGCTCTTTGCCTTGGCATAGCACGTGCAAATGTTTTTGGAAGACAACTTGCGGCCGCGGATAGTTATTTCAGAGTGTGCTGGGTCGGAAGTGGATTCCCCGAAGGCGACGCTGTCTTTACTGTTGCTGAAGTCTGCTGTACTTCCGCCTACGTCATTTCTGGGCTCGTGTTCGAGAGGAGTCTCATCAGAGATCAGCCTCCGGCAACTGATGTACGTTTCCACATCCTTTAAGAGTGGCGCAGGTACACATTGTAGGACCACGTCCTCGTTTTCCTTAACAGAAATGGCGCTCTCGACAGAAAGCCGCCCGTCGGGAGTTCTCTCCTTGAAGACCAATTCGGAGGGCTGTTCTCCAGGCGATACTCGTTTCACCTCCACTGACTTTACGTGGTCACGGCCGGAAATGTCCGCATCTTGCACAAAGCACGAGATGTCAGCAACTAATGCCAGTTCTTCAGGCAAGAATTCGGCTGTGCCCTGGTAGGTAAAGTTTCCAAGTTCCCTCACCGACTGTGTGCGCGGTTTGATTCCAGCAGCTCGCCATTCAAATTGAGGCTGTGTTTTGAACCACCCTGCTGTACACGTGAAAGTAATGGTTCTTCCTGACGTGTCAAGGGGGCAGATATTTACAGGTTCTGACTGTGTCAGATTGATGGTCAGTCTTGAAAAGAAAATGTCCACGGGTTTTGAATACTTGCTCCTCGCAGGTTGCAGGCTCTCCCTGCCTGCTGCCCGACCACCTTCTGGGACGGGAAACATATTCACTCCAAACTCGTATCGTCCGGGCACATCTACGTGGAATTCGCTATGGCACTCAGCCTGAAAGTTTTGTGGTTCCTCGAGAGACGCGCTGAGTGTCTTGATAACCGGTGCCCGAATCTTTTCCTCATCTCCCTGGTTCTGCCTCTGGAACATCTCACAGCGAACATCGGGGTACACCCGTGACGTAATGCACGTCACCCGCACCAGCGCCGTCGTCTCGCCCAAAGCCTGACCTTCATCCCTGTCCTCGGCTGGGACGTCAGACAAGCGATCTTGATCCTTGACCACCTCGGCCCAGCAGTGAGGCTCGGCGGGCGTAAGGTACAGGTTGAGCCGGCACGAGGTCAGTTCCTCCATCACGCCATCTTCGTGGAACGTGCAGAAGAGGACGTCGTGCCGGTCAGCGGCCTGGGGTGAGTACAGCGTGAGCGAGACGTTGAACCACCCAGGCCCGTCTCGGTCTGTGGCCATCCTGGTCCCCGACGTTAACGGTATGTAGTCAGTGCACACGGAACTGCCCGGAAAGAACCCGCAGAAGGACACTGTATCATAGTTGTCGTCGCCCTCAGAGTACTTGTTGCCTTCGACTTCATCACCATCATAGTCCTCGACGTTGTCACCATTTTCGTCTCCGCCATAGTCCTCATTGCCACCATCTTCATCGTCACCATCATACTCGTTGTAATCGTTCGTAGATGCCTTATGTCTGTCCCAAAACACCTGCCTGATGACGATAAGTATGGTAATGACGGCATTAATGTCAGGACTCACAACACAATAGTGACGACGATAGTGATGACGACGACGACGACGACGACGACGACGACGATGATGATGATGATGATGATGATGATGATGATGATGATGATGATGATGATGATAAGTTGAGGTCTGTTATGATATTGACAGTACAAACAAAATGGTCGAACAAAACACGTATAAGGTAACAAATTTCCAAAATTTGTAGAACCATTTTAGAAAATTTTTAGGTTTTAAAATCAAATCAAAACAAATGTAAGGCAAATATTCCATAAACATTATGCTTTAACCAGGCAGTCCACCGAAAGGAACGTCTGGCGCAGAGCCGTCTGTATTGCCAGCAGAAACAGTGATAGAAACTACAAGGAGAAGCTGACTATCAGATGAGAGAGGAGACATAAGCCAACCACCACAACCACGACATTCCAGTGTCCCCACTGCAACAGACATTGTTCATCCAGGATCGGATTGCACAGCCACATGCGCGTCCACAGATGAGCTGCAGGATTCATCGTTATCTTCGGCAACGAAGGACTACCTACACGCATGGGGGTAGTAGTATAAAAGTATAGGTGTGAAGCTTTGATTTGGACTCCATTTTGGGTGCGGCCAGCATAATATGAGGAGTAGTGGCACAATAAAGTTCTTTGCTTTTGCACATATAAGAGACGTGAGTTAAGATTAGGATCCAGCTATAGAGAATTGTAAAAGTACCGTGGTGAAATCAGGCGCTTATCAAAATAATGAAATTGAAGAAACCAGAATTTTCCACCCGCTGGTCAATTCTGATCGATTTTTTTTCCGGGCTCAGTACCGTTTATGCTCATTAAAAAACACATTTCTGTTTGAATTTTACTTAAAATCGTTGGTCAAAGGCACGGAAAATGTAAATTTACTGTTATAAAGGACACTGACTCAAGCTTTGGAAGACACCAAACTTTAGCGGCCTTTTCCTCGGTAATTTTACTTCTGACAACAGACGACAACCTCCTCCTTCAATGGCAAATGTCTTGACTTCTGTTCAAGATAGACGGGTATTTTTTTTCTTCTTAAAAAGCGAGGCCAATGAACATTCTTTAAGTTTATACCAGTAACCCCGTATGCCCCCAAATTGACAAGAGCTTGATTCACGTGGTGACACAAATCTATTTCGTCGAGTCTCTATGTTTTCCCGCTGGGATTTGTGTCAAACATAGTCTATCAGCGTCTATCGCAAAGACGGTATGGTTACATCAACTTACATGCTTCGCCGTCGCACTCATGAGACCCGAGCTCGGTTCTCTAAAAGGAAAAGGGATCATTTTTACGAGCAAGTCGTTCTTTTTGTTGAGATGTTGTATCTCTCTGTTCCAGGTTGGACCTGACAGGCAGTGCCA